AGTACAGTGCATTCATACTACTGAAATGTTGATTCCGTAAAATCTACCCCATCCATCTATTTTCGATATTGTTATATTGCTATTTTCTATATTGCTTGACCTTAAGATTTGAACCCTTACAATTAAGTGAGGCGTGCTAACTTAAACCCAGGGGGATCTGCGGGATCAGATGAATGGATGATTTTTATTAGGGGAAGCGGCAAATTTTATACAGCCCACTTTATTTCTGCGGTGGTATTTCAAGTGAAAGCAAAAAATAAAGGACGGGATCTTCATGCCAACTCAGTTCCAATCACCGCTCGTCTTTGCGGGCTGATTACGATCACCTGGGAGCGACTGCGCAGTTCATTAATTCTGATGGAAGTGCGCTGCGGCTACTATTTATTTGCTTTCAAGCATGCTGACCAACTCAGGGCCGGTGGTGGTAAGAGCTGCGTTCTCCAGCAAAACTTTCAGTATGACCAAAAGCAGTTGTGAAAATGGAGTTGTCATGTAAATTTAGTATCTAAAGCATGCTTTCCAGGCATTCATTTAATTTTATTTTCGGCAGTTTTCTGCGAAAATAAGAGAAAATTCAAAGTATTTTAGCCTGTGTAATGTATTATGGCCTTGAAGAATAAGTCATGGGCATACTTAATCTTAATTGCATGGGGGGGTCTTTTAATCCCTCTGCTGCAAACAAATCAACCTTGAAGCATAGCACGTAAACAACTAACGCAGCCAATGTGGGCTCATATTAATCTGAAGTTCAGGTTTATGATGAGTCCAAACTAGCTTTGTTACTTTTGAGACTCAGACCTATGAATTGATTTTAAAACGATGAATTACACATTCTCACTAGTGACAAGGCCTGTCTTATTTCGTCGATTTTTCTGGTAAATGATTGCAGGTCAAGCTCTATTTGTCAATAATTGACGATGTGATTGAGAATATGAGGGAGCTGTTCTTGGACGAGGGCCTTGAAGACTGCGTCCTGGATGATTTACGACATGTATGTCTTCAATGCAGTCAGATTTGACCTGTCTTTGACAAATCAGTGAATCTCTGCGTCTTCTACTGTGCAGCTTTGGGAGACAAAGATGATGGAGTCCAAAGCTATGGATGACTTCAGGAAGAACAACAGCGACTCTCCAAACTTTGTGCTGCAGCTTCCGCCCAACTACAGCCGCAATGATGCAGAACATGCAGGTAGCATAAAGATGTTGAGTCTTTGTTTCTTAGTTATCATTAAAATTTACCAGATGAAGTCAAAACTTGGATGCGGTGATGTGAATTTTGTTGTATTGGCTATTTTCTTATGATGTATAGCTCCTGTCGTGATCCCCGCAAGTCAGAATATTCACAGTTTCCCTGTCCAGGCAAGTATATAATTTCTAACAATAGAGAACTGAACATTATATGGGTACCGTAATTCCAGAATTGATGGACAGTGAATATTACGAGCTAGAGCAAATCTGTTATATTGTGCTGCCTGTGATTCCACTTGCCTAAATTGTGATTAGTACAACTATTCATTTCTATACTGTATTGCTCATAAGACTTTGAGTATATATTTATTGACTGCAAAAAGTTCTGGCCCAACAGCCAATGAATGTACCATACTATAATGATCTCCTTTACTGTAGATTTACAATAAACTGTACTAAATGTTCAATTGCAGAACAACTCTGAGACGCTTGCTACCTTTTCACTTCCTGCTGGCTTATCTTACCCTGTGCAGATACCTGCTGGAGTCACTCTCCAAACAGCAACTGGTATGTGGTTTCTCTATAATATCCTACGCTTCAAATGTACAGTTGAATATCCCCAAAGTTCACCCAAAATTTACACTAAAACAGAACTGTCATCAAACCGTGACAGCCAGACTTGTTAAATTCTTGCGAAACTTAAGGTCATAAGGTCTTTAATATAAAGGAGTGAGCAAACTATATAAATTACACATGGGACCACACACTTCCTAGCCAGATGTAAAACAAAAATGCAATTTTAACACTTATATGTTTAAAATTCTACCTAAAACATTAGTTAGCAAAGGTGTAATGATTGGATTGGACAGATTTATGCCAGTGTTATGGAAAAAAAAAGTAAAATCTAAACAAATGGGGCAGCCAGCAACCTGGAACAGATTGTGTTCATTTCTGATGAGCTGTTTGGTCTGACTTTTCTCTCTTTTTGTTACTCAAAGGTCAACTTTACAAGGTCAACGTTCCTGTTGTAGTCACTCAGGCTCCAGCAGTTCAACAAACATTTTCACAACCTCCGCAGACGGTCACTGAGAGAATAGAGCCTCCTGTTCCTCCACCGGCTTCATCACAACCTACTGAAAGACTTCCTCGCGAACCGTCGCCAGTGCCTGTGCCGACCCTAGTCGACTCGTTGCCGCCGCTTGATTCTTTTTCGCTCCCCAGTCAGGAGAGCAGCCTTCCCCAGCAAGACCCAATGCCTGAGTACCCACAATTTGAGGTATCGGTGTCTCCAGAGCCAGAATCTGTGCCGAGTAGTCAAGAGAGAGAGTTGAATCCAGAGCCTCTGGACTTCAGTGTCAAATGCTCTTCCGTCTGTCACCTGTTTGATTTCCAGATTGGCAGTGAGGAGGTTTTGACGGACACCCCTCAGTTTAAGAGCAGCGACATTGACGACATCCTCAAAGTGGTCATTGAAGAAGAGCGAGAAAAAGCTGCAAGAGCGAGAAACTTGGCTCACGCCAAATTTTATGACCAACCTCAATCTGTTCTTGGGGTAATTTCAATCGAGCAGATTAGATTAGGGTTACGGTCGAGAGTCAGAACACATTTTATTGAACAAGAAGCAGGCACACGCTTTTTGAGTAACAGATTCATATTTTCTAATTTCATGTATTGTGTTCTTTATTAGTTTGGAATTCATAGTTTGTTAGATATGACGGTGTTTCCCAACCTTTGTTGAGCAAAGACAAGTTTTACATTCGAAAACTCACATGTCGGCTCCAAACATGTGACAGAATGTACCGGTAAATATCCTTCAAGATGGACACAGAGGTTGACCCTTCTGCCACCCAGTGAAGGAGCAGTTAATTGTTCTGCCTGTCACAAAACATTGCCAGCCTCGATAGATGAACATCCATTATCCAAGCCGCTTATCCTCATGAGGGTCAAAGGTACATTGTTAGTAGTAGAAGATCATTTTTGGACACATGGAGTGAAATTGGATAAATTCTCTCATGGCACAGTGATTGGGAATTCTTGGTATATTGCAATGTCATACTGATCCACTATTTTAGTAAGTTTGGGGGCCCGATATTTTTTAGGATCTACAGATAAACAAGGTTAACATAATTGTAACAGTTGTTACTTAGCAATATCCTTTTTCCTCAACATTGCCAACTTTTTTTTTTTAATGTTCCATCTCCATTTTCCCTAAATCTTTTCTTTTTGACCATCATATCTGTTGTCTGCCAGCTGGACCTGGACTACAACTACAATGCGCTGTCAGACATTGTCCAGCTAGACGGTGCGGCAGACAATTCGGATTTGGAAGAGGAAGACGTGTCACTGGAGGAGAATGATTTCCTGGGTATGATCAATGCAGAGGCCCTCAAGGCTCTGCAGGAAGGAGGGGTGAGCAGTGATGGGAACAGCAGCTCCTCCAGTAGTGACAGTGAAGAGGCTGAGGAGCTTGATCAAGTGGAAGATGAGGTATGGATTTTATTTTCGAAGCATTATCCTCCTGCCAGCTGTAGTTTGCAGGGGATGCACTGTAGCTTCATAATTAGCCTGCTACCATACCTCATGAAACAAACGCTGTATATCGCTGAACAGTTTCTCCTTTTTTCCATTTTGTATCATGATAAACGGGTGCAGAAAAAAATATACAGTTGAGCTAGTAAACAGGATAATGCTGAAAGTACATATCCAACGTCCACAATATTTTGTCAAGAGGTGGTACATGTACTGAGGAGAAAAAAAATATATATATAAAATTTTCCTAATGAGGTTGCAGATGTATTTTCCAACTTTCAATCACTAAACCAATGCAAATTAAATCTTACAAACGTTCTGCTTTAATTCGAAGATCTCCATCAAAACAAGGCATGGTACAACATTATCTTGATACATGGTGTTTTTGACCAAATTTTTATTTGGGATTTTATGAGTGTGCAGGTGTACCTAATCCTGTGGTCAGTGAATGAATTAAAAAAAACAAAAAAAAAAAACAAGATGGTTCATGAAATTGTTGATTTGAAAGTCACACATTGTGTTCAACAGGATCCATTGAATTCCGGTGACGATGTGTTTGAGCAAGACATCCCGGATCTCTTTGACTCGGAGAACATCATTGTTTGCCAGTATGACAAAGTACGTACACGTCTTTCAGCAAATGAAAATTCTGAGCTTTGATTCTGAACATTGCAATATTTTGGTTCTCCATCGGTTTGTAGATTCACCGTAGTAAGAACCGCTGGAAGTTCCATTTGAAAGATGGAGTCATGTCTTATGGTGGCAGGGATTACGTGTTCTCGAAAGCTATTGGGGAAGCAGAATGGTAATGCACTGTTTCTTATCCAACCGCCTTCTGTTCTACTTGTCCTCATTCGGGTTGTGGCAGATCAGGGCAGCTTATCCCTGTTGATTTTGGGAGCGAGACACAGGGACTGCTAATTTATGATGGAGGGGGCGAAATTGATACCCAGGACATGATGCTAAAATAGATATTTTCTATTTTATAGCCATCAGAGCAATTAAAGAAGACTCGGCACATAAAATGACTTGTTTGGTTGTAAATGCAATTTGATTTCACAATGTGTGAATTTATGTTATGTATTTTGTGTGAAGAAAAAGTTATATTTAAGCAAAACATGCTTTGGTTTAAAGTATACACCTGTATTGGATTACCAATGTGTATTCCTTGTTTTGTTTTTCCCTCAAATGCATTTACCGTGTTGTGTCAATGAATAAACCTTAAAAATGGGACTTTTGGTTATCATCATTATGTCATGATGGCTTTCTCTTAAAAATGAGCTGGGATTGGATGGGTTCATCCTTCTAGTGTGTTGGTCCTGATCTTGTGCATCTTTTCTTTTGAAGATTTACTATGAGAAAAGTATTTCCAATATGTTCATACATATGGCACGTTGGCGGTACATCTTGCATACAATATGCCTCACTTTTTATCACAGTCTGTGGCAAGTGTTGGACAATGCAACAAACACTGCAGGCTGTTTAGTAAAGGTCGATGCAGTAAGTGTAGTACATTCCCTGCACATTTATTGATGCTGTTCACAGTTTGCAAAAAGAGCAGCTTAAGGCTGCCTGACTTTGACCGTCTCCACTGAGGAATGATTACCCGCTCCCTGCCCCCACCGTTTTTTTTTTTTCTAAATCAAAAACGTTTTCTTGATAAATGCATTACATTCTAAACAGTCTACAAACCCCTAAGGGCTGCATGAATGTGAATTGAATAAACTATTAATGGATATGAGAATATATTAAGCTTGGACAATTCCATTAAAAAATAAACATCTATCACATTACGATGCCGTTTAACGGTGAAAGCAAGCACAAAAATGTTACCAGAAAGAAATAGTGAAATACAGTATACTGTACATGTTACACAATATGTACTTTTTTGAAGTAGAACACTCCAAAAGCGTTTTGGGATTCAATTTGTGATGTCCCTCAAAATATTCAATTGAAATTGACAAACTATCATTCAATCTAGCAAGGATAGAAACGTAAAACCAGGAATAGATGTTTTTCGCGACATAAGTCCAGCCATGCAGTAGTCCTCCTATATCAGCACTACAAATAATTCAATATTTATTACATTTTTTTTTCCTATTTCATGACCAAGAACGTTGAGGATGAATTAGTTACTGTAGATTGTACATGTTAAGGCCACTAGGCACAAGAGGCAGTTTTACGTTGCTGCTCACAGAAATGTCCAATTCTAAGAAGTCAACCAGCTCTCATAGAAGGGATTGCATTTGGCTTTAGGGGTTCGACCACTCTATAGTTTACGTATATTATAATACATTGTACATATTACGGCATACAATCCTACAGTATATTACACATGCACAAATACTGTACACACTGAAACATCTGTCCACTCAAACCTCCATCACTACAGTGAGATCTTGGCTAACTTGGAGCGAGAGGCTGGGTACACCCAAAACTGGTAACCAGCCAATTGCAAGACATTTTCAGTCCGTTTGTAAAAAAAAATAAAAAATGTGCAAGCAATCGTGTGCAATGCAGGGCCTCTCTCCATCCTGAGCCAAGCTTTGAAGAAATGTACAGTTCAGGCCGATGATGGATTCTTCGAGTTCATGACGGATGATGTGTTTCCTTCGATCACAACCAACCTTTCACTCAAGTGATGAGAAGCTAAAGCGTGGTTTCCCGCTGGGCATTATTTGGATGCAGATAAGTTGGGAGTCGTGGGCCTTTTGCTTGAAATGCTATAAACATACTCCTACAACGTTGGAGCAGCAGGCGCACTTCTTTCCTAAAGCCCCGAGTAAAGATGGTGTACAGGAAAGGGTTGCAGAGAGAGTTGATGGGATAAAATATGATGAGGATGAACTTGGAGTGAGACATGGTGATGAGGGGCATGTGCAGGGTAGCGGAAATTGCAAAGAAGGAGATTGGCGCCATGCAAAGGAAGTCGGTGAAAATCAGCACTGCCATGCGCTTGGCAAGCTTTGCGTCGTCGTGGTGATTGGCGGGCGCCGGCTTGCGGACACTCTGGTAGATGCACACGTAGCAGAAACACACCCCCAGAAACGCGACAACGTTAAGCGAGAGCACAATCAACACGTACGCCTGAGAAACCCGCGTGTCGATATCCATTGGCAGACAGACGCTCACTTTGCTGTAGCTGCTGACTCCCACTAGGGGCAGCAGAGCAACTACTAAGGAGAAGACCCAACCTGCAACCATGATGGCCAGCACATGGTGCATGCCCAGCCTCTTGTTTAGATCCATGGCATTGATGATGGTGTACCAGCGTTCAAAGCTGATCACAGTGAGCGTATAAACCGACAGCTCACTTGAGAACATTGTCAGGAAGCCCGACATGTCGCATCCTGGGCCCGTCTGCCATTCCGTGGCGTGGTTGTAGTACTCGTGGCGAGAGTGGTAGTCCATGCGTGCGATGAGCATCAGGTAAAACCCCATGCACAGGTCTGCTAGGGCTAGGTTACATATGAGAAACCGGGAGATAGTTAACTTGCGACTGGTAAAAAGTAGGATGACCAGCACAGTGAGGTTAGCAACAATGGTAAAAAAAGCAATTATCCAGGTGACGTTGCCCAGGATGGGACCCAGGAGGTCCTCACAAGGGTTAAAAGGATCTGACTCTGGCGTGCACTGGATGCCGGCGTGGCTGGGACAAATATGTTCCAGTTGTGGGTGATTGTTGTAGAGGTCAGTGCCTCGACCAAAATTTCTGGAAAACCAAAAAAAAAAAAAAAGTTATTTTAAGGAGTTGAATGTCTTCCCAAATGGATGATGTCCATTGCTGTATATGATGCATTTTAATGTGTCATATTATGGACATCAGGGCGTAATCCTACTTGATACTTTCCCCCCCTAAACAAGCAAACAGTACATTGTTAAATAGTGTTTCAATTGGCTTGAAGGCTCTTTGTTGACACTCTTATTTGGGAGTACAAAAATACTGCAAAATCATCAGTCATCAAAAAAACTGAAAATCAAAAAGGTTGATAAAATGTGTTTGGTAGGCTATTTGCCTGTTGTATGAAACTCTCTTACGCCTTACCAATTCTATAATTTTGGTAAGCTTGTTTAATTGCCTTTTAAATTATGACAAATATGGTGGTTGTGCCTTTGTAAAATGTGCCAAATCTTCAGTGGTTTTGGCAAACAGTATGTCTGTGTAGATTCTCAACCATCCAGGTGAAGGTCATCTACAAACGTGTGAACGAAGCAACTGGACTTTTCTTGCTTATTGGAGATGTTTCTCCTTTTGTCCAAAAGGCGTCTTCAGTTCTAAGCTTTAGGTGTGGAGCCTCCCGATTTATGTGTGGGAGGCTGTGTCCTCTGGCTGTGGCTGTGTGTTGTTTCCCCGCGTGGCTCGTGAACGACTGTCCTTGCATACCAGTTGGTGACAAAGCAGTTTAACTGTTAGGGCCTCTCTTCTCATTAAACTATCACACGGGGAGGGATGCTAGGATGTTGTTATACGCAGACAATAGGTAATGCCTCAAAACCTCATCCGCAATTTTAGAGATGCATTTCTGGGTTTAATGTGGATGGCTTCTTTTACACTGCTTTCAAACCAGTGGTTCTCGTAATCCAGAATTTGGATGTTGTTGACCTCAAAGAAATGTCGCTTCCTCTCGAGATGTGAATGAATGGCTGACTCTGGACCTGAAAAAGCTGCTTGCTGACGTTGTGCCATGCACCTGTTCTAAGGCTGCTTGGTTTCTCCAACGTAACAATTAGTATGCGGAACAGGCATGCTGGCAACACCACCTTATCATGACGCACCCTCTGAGGCATAAATATGAATATTGCCCCTGCGATAGAGTAACTTACTTTTTTGGTGATGGCGGTGTGATGATGTGTGTGTGTGTGTGTGTGTGTGTGTGTGTGTGTGTGTGTGTGTGTGTGTGTGTGTGTGTGTGTGTGCGTGGGTAGCATATTGACATTAGATCCTGTAACCAGTGACAACAACTCTTCAATTATTCAAAGATACATATTTTGTGAACGTAGGAGGAAGTCTAAGGACGCTGAGAAAACTCACGCAAGTACGGGTTCAACATGCAATATTCCACATAGGCCACTAAGTACCCGGATTCAAACCTCCAACCTCAGAAATGTGAGGCAGGTGTGTTGACAACTGGTGCTACCCTCACATCTCAGAGTTATTAAATACTACCTCCGGAATTTAGTGTTAGAAAGAATGGCGTGACCTGCCAACAGTCTTGACCCAGACCAGACTGAACATGGTTTGCGCTAGCGTGACCATCACAGTCCGATTGGCTGAAAAACCATGCTGAGGAGTAGAACACCCTCCTGCAGCAGTGTGTGACCAACATGAGGAGGAGGTGTCAGCAGGAATGGATGTTCTCCAACACAATCAGTAAAGCAACTGGTTGTTTGTTAAAAGACCAAATTGTAGAAATGCCATATTCTTGTCTTGTTACTGAGAGGTGGGGTGTTACTTGTACCAACTGAAATTAGAATTTTGTGTCTTTTTCTTTCTTTTTTTTTTTAACCCCTTATTTTAAACCATTGTTGGTAACAATGCCTGATTGAAGTTTTTCCACGTTGCTGTTTTTTTTTCACCTTGCCTCAACATGTCAATTTCTCAACCGATTTGTCTTTTTTACATTGTGACATCATCCGTGGAGGTTGAAAAGTGTAACAATTTTTATAAAGTAATGACTAAAATGTAGATACTTTTTTGCATCAGTGGCGTGCCGTCATGGCCATCAAGTTTTCTTTACTGAAACCAACGCCATCTAAAGCACTGAGCTACATCCACAACATGAACTGACAACGTATGGTTTATGAAAATGTACTGTTTATGTATCCCGAGTGAATGGAAGCCCTCCACCCTTCATCAAAAAAAAAAAAAAAATGTTATTCCCTGGCACATCCACATTACAGAAGCAGGGCATCCAGTCTAACAAACAGCGGTCAGATATCAAAAGTAATTCTCAAATCATCCATCTAATTGGGTAACTTAAGTATCCACTGAAGGCCTGTGTCCCAAATGCAGTGCACTCCACTGGTTTTCATATCCAGGAGGTACAAAAACAAGTTATCAAAAAAAAAAAAAATACTGAAGCACCGATACCTGAAAAATCGACTAAAGTTCAGTAACAAAGTATTTGGATTGCATTACTTCCCACCACTGCTCTTAAAATCCATATCCATCCTAGTTTACTAATTTTTGTAGTATTTTTAGTAAATTTGTTGTATTTTAATAACTTACGTGTAGATTGATTCACAAAATGGTGATGGATTCTTGAGAGCTTCTTGTCTGCAAATATAAAATTGGGTGTTAAGTGTCGTTCTATTTGGCTTAATATCAAACTTTTGATGTTTGAATGAATATTTTCAGTATTAATTCATGTTGCATCTGTAAGAGCGTATCGTTTACCTGTGTTTGCTGTACCACAAGTGGAAAGCACAGCACTGACTCGCATATGTCAGCTCAGCCACCCCCAGCTCAGCCAGACTGTCTAATGGAGGAAGGCGCTTCAGAGCAAAAGCAGATTTGGCTTTCAGGCGCTTTACCTGCTCCAACCCTTTTCGGGGGAGGGAGGTCAAAGCTGTGGAGGACACATCCCTGAATCACACACAGACGCGTACACATAGAGAACAGGTTACCCTAACTATAGCCCTGATTACACAAGGGCAGGCAGAAACTCTTCTCAAATTGACATTGGACGCTGTCTGCAGTTGAGGATACACACTCCTGGTCATTTTTAGAAAAATATTTTATTCCTTAATTGTTGTACTTGTGTTTTTATGTGGGCAGCACGGTGGGCGACTGGTTAGTACGAAGGCCTCACAGTGCAGAGGTGCAGGGTTCAATTCCGGCTCCAGCCGGTGAGTCTGCATGTTCTCCCCTGCCTGTGTGGATTTTCTCCGGGGTACTCCCGTTTCCTCCCACTTTCCAAAAACATGCATGGCAGGTTAATGGAACACTCGAAATTGTCCCTGGGTGTGATTGTGAGCGCCCATGGTCGTTTGTCTACGTGTGCCCGGCGATTGGCTGGTAACCAGTTCCCCCGCCTACTGCCCATAGACAGCTGGGATGGGCTCCAGCACGCCCACGATCTTCGTGAGATGGATGGATGTTTTTATGTATAAATGTGATTATTGGTGGTAAACATTGAACAATGTTGCTTATAAGTGATCAGGAATTTATCCTGTAGTACTAATGTCTGTTGCTTCATATTAGCTGATAAATAGTAGCACTGGATGCTAACAGTTAAATGATAGCTGTTAAATACTGTAGTAGGTTTTAACTCATTCACTCCCAAAGACGTTTTTAAACGTCTTTTCGGACTTGGTCCAGAATTGGCTGAAGGAGTTGTTAAGTGCTTCCAACTCATCAAGCTATTAGTGGCAGCTGCAGAATTGTGGCTCGGCATATGGTGTGTGTTTGAATTTTTTTCATTTACAACTTACTGTGACTGGAGGTTATGCTGAGCAAACACATTTTGAAAGCTGTATGAATGAAATGTCATGCATGTCATTGGCTACGGAACCAAAACAATGGGTTGAGATGATACGTTCTCTGGGGCTTTATGATCCTTATCATACTTGAGCAGTCGTGTGTTCAATGCTAAATTCAAAAAGTGATTGGCCCACTGTTGGTGACCCCTCCGAAAACCCCTGACAGAATTCCAAAACATTTTATTGGATATTTTAAAAATATTTTTAAATGAATATGTTTTTAAAACTCACAGATAAAGCGGGCCCCAGGCTCCCTCAAAAGCGTCCTCTGGAATGTTGCACAGATGCCTGTTGTGTCTTAAATCGCTGCAAATGAAACAAATGAGCTACACTTAAAGTGGATATTTGAAAGTTAAAATGAATTGTACTGATCAGACAGCTCGTTTACTCTGGAACAATAAGTTCAGTTACTTGTTATAGATTGGAATGACACCATTTTGTTTCATGACATCATAAAACATCCAACGAAAAAGCAAAAGGCGCGAGTTGTTGAGTTACTTATTTTGCCCATTGAGCTGAATTCTGATTCTACTTTTGTGTGTACCGAAAGCATTCTGAGTTGACTGAAGCATTAACTGTATCAACCCATCAACATCGATCAGTGTGTGGAAGGGCAAGAAAACAGAGGGACATCCAGTCTTTGTTTAGTCTTGCATACCATTTGTTTGCTCTATTATGTGATTTGAAAAAGAGAGCTATTCAAATCATACTGATATACTACCAGGAAAATATTACATGAGCCTTTTTATTAGTTTTAAGCCTGTGTTTAAAAAAAAAAAAAAAAAAAAGGGTCACCAAGGGAAAAACTTACAGTGTTCTGATGAAGGTTCCATTGAACGCGTGTGGGTAGATTTCCTTGAAACCGCTACCGATCAGGCTTCTGTCAAGGTCAAAATTTACTGTCAACAGATTCACTGGTCAAGGTCAAGGGAATGAACAGCCACTTGCATTAGCACATTGGAGAGGCAAAATGAATAACAACGACAAAAACGGAAAGCATTCTTAAACAATTGCTGCACCATGTTTTGGTAACAAAAAAGACAAAGTTGAGCATTTACTCACATGTCACTGGCCGTCTTTGTCATACCGTTGAAGGAATTGGCAGGGATATTTTCTATGGCCATGTTTGCTTGCATTTTTCTGCAAAATGACATCAATCCAGAAGCGTCTGCTAATTAGTCAGATAAAATGGTGTTAATACAGTTGAAGGAACTGCGAATCAACTGTTGGCTTTTTGCTGATGTTATTGGCACTGTGACATTCAGCGCTATAGAAAAGTAGGCCTCAAGAAAAAAAAAAGGTAACCGCACGAAAACGATACTGACAACCACTATTATTTTTGAATAAGGTTACTTACAGGCTGAATGGGAAGGCCAAAGAGGATATGGTGGATAAGTCTGGGAAGTGCATCACCCCAGTGCCAAAGATGCATCTGTGAAAAATGTAATTACATTATGACATTATGGCGTTACCCTTCGATGACCTACTTTGGCGGTGCGGTACAATAAAGACATATTTGTATTTATGTAACTGTTGCCATCACCATCACCTATTATCTGACAGGAAACCACTTTAATGCTTTAATTTCCATGTTGCTCTGCAAAAAGAATATCTTTAAATGTACATTAGTACTCTGATCTTAAAGTTTTGTTGTGGTCTACGTAGGGAATCTCAGGGGTCCTTAAAATTAAATTGTTAATCAAAATTTAGACTCCACTGATGAGATGCACATGTAAATACTGAAGAAATACACCGTGCTGCATGCACGGTGAACAAAATCATCGGAAGTAAAATAAAATCATCCTCAAATGGAAACACTTACAAATAATTCAGATTAGGCAGGTCAGTGAATGCACCCTTTTCAATTGTCCTCAGATTTTTCAGGTTTTTAATCGTGCTGCAGGAAGATGATACAGAGGGAGAGAGACAGAAAAAATACATATGAATCAGATTTATTCTTTGAGCAATTTCACAAGAATTTGAACCAAAATTCAGTTTTGTTGACAAAAGCAACAAAAAATGGCTCGTAGTAGGTTTGTTTGTTAGCAGGCTACATTCTGCGACAAAGCTGTCGTGAGCTACCTGTTACAAAACGAATTCGTGCAGCAACAGGCCATTTCCTAAAAGGCACTCCTTACACACATTTGCAAACTGTAGCTGTCTTTTTCATGTATAAATTTCAGTTTTACAGCAGTGCCAGTTAAATGTTTGGACACACTTTCTCGTTCAATAGCACGAGAATGTGTGTTCACATTTTTGACTTCTGTTCTCTGTCAAATGCCTTGAGGTAATAAAGGTAATAAAAGAAACAAAGCACACACATTCTTTGGGAAGAACTTTTGCATACTAATACAGCTGAAGCGTGATCAGTTATGTGCACTCCCCTCCAAAATAATTCGAACAGTATGGCCAATTCCTTTTTTTTGGGAGGTGTTGACTTAAATGAGACAAACGATCAACATTTTATTTTTATTCAAAGCTGCAACGGGGACACCTGCCTCCAGTCAGGTGTCTCTGTGACCCCGCCCCCATCTCACAGGTGCAACTAGTTGCTGATTGTACTCTCCCCTATTAAGCTTGGTGCTCACCTCTCACTCTCTCACTATGCACTGGCTTGTCTGAGGAAGGCACCCTCCCTCCCCTGCAACCACGTACCCTGGCTCCCATTTTATATCACGTGCTGCTATGCTCTCCCATCGTCTTCAACAGTTGAGGTGAAAAAAATCATTTTAATCATGTATTTTTAATGGACATATTATGGAGGCTTACTATTTTATTTTATAGGTGAATAGTCCCAGTGCGGCCTTTGCCCCTTTTTTGTTTTAGAATTATTTTATTAAACCAACTGCTTTGATATATTTTGCCTCTCACCCAACAGCTGGAAGCGTCCAGTTACTCTGTGGGGAAGATCTGCTGGAGGGGTCTTGCCCCCCACCTCCTTTTTTGGGGGGGGGGGGGTTGATAGGATGCTTAGGATGCGGTGTACACTAATAAACACACAAACACACAATTATTATTTTTTTTCCCCCCTAAACTCCCTGTGATCGATTTAGGACCAGTCTGCTGGCTACCTTTCGATTGCGATTGACTGGCTAGGCATCCCTGCTGTAGATTTAGAGTTAATTTTGCTGCTGCCATAGAGGACTAATTGACTCACCCCAAGAAAAAGCCTTATGATATTTTAACCTTTGAAGGATGTGGCTCATGTCACTCATTTGTTCTTGGGCTTCTTTACAGCACTCTGTTTTTTCCATTGCTGTTTTCATTGATCTATCCATTTAAAGTACATTACGCCACTTAGTACACAATTGTTTTCTGTCATCTTCAGCGCATTCTAGATGGTCTTATTGGCTCTGGCCAATGTTTGTGCAATGGTTCTGATTGATTGATCTTTCTCATTGAAAAATTACTTATTTTTCACCTATAAAAAAATGGCCAACCAAAAGATGCCATCTTCTAATTTTGTGCTAGATTCAGAGGTAAATATCTGCATATAAACGCTGAAATGGTGATCATTTGTCTCGTATCAACATTTTGATATCAAGCCAAAATGTTTTCTGTTTATAATATTGGAATTGGCCTCACTATGCCAGTACATTTGGAGGGAACTGTAATTAAGGAATTAACATTTGTGAAACTGAAATGACAAATGCAGAAATTGGTGAAATAAGTTTGTTTCCACATAAATACTGAGTTAATACATACATTTCTCTCAAGCCATGGATGGATAGGAAGGCGTGTGTCTGTATCCTGGTCGCAGTGCTGTAGTAAATCAAACTGTGGCGCACACACACATATTGACTTTAGGTTGAGACAAAGATGGTGACAGCTAAATAAATAATAGTGACGCATCTAAAGTTTAAAGTATGAAAAACAAGAATGTCCTTCATCAACAAAGCATACAAAATATATTTTTGTAAATAACTAGAAATGCATAAAAGTACTCCAGGTGTGCTTTGCCAGAACTTACTGGCACAAAATGATTTTTGAAACAAATTTCAAACGTCAGTATTATTCTTCTGCTACACAAACACTTTTCCCCTTGTGTGTTGAACCAATCTTAATGTACAGTATGGATACAGTTAGTCCCGGGGTCACCAGCAAGTATCCTTCAAGGACCACATTCAGAGCTCGCAGCCCCGTTCTAAAACTAGCTCAACAGTCATAGAGCCTTTCATTTTTCTTGGTATGCTACCCTGCCCCAGCTGTGGAGGAAGATCGAGGGATGGGTTGGTGGAAAAATGTACTTGGGGCAAATTTATTAATTCTCAGGTGTCTCGTAGCCTGTCGCATTAATTGATAACCAAGAGGTAGTTTTCAAGAAGGTTGGTGACACTGATCTAGGCCAAGAAGACCAAATGAAAGTGTTTAAGAGTGACGTCTAAACAAAGACACTGAAAGGTAAACACAGGCTTCTAGATTTGGCCCTGAGTGTTTTGTTTTCTGATAAACTCATAACTGACCTCTTTTCTCTTGTTACTTCCTGTGCTTTTTTTTTCCCTGGGTTCCTCTGCTTCAACTGCAAAGTGACCATGAAATCTCATTATTTTCAAACTTTCCTTCCTTGCATGATTGCACCAAATGCCACTGTCAAAGTAAGCTTTTCCAGCCATGATCTAACCCTTCTTGTTTCATCTTAGAGGAGCTGAGAAATATCAATTCATCCACATTTGTAGCATGTAAATTACTTTAAAATAATGTTATTTTTGATCATTTTGATGTTAAGGTAGCTTTAAAGAGAATAGATTGTCATGCTAATCACCACACCAGCATGGACCTTTCGCATGCTAATGTTACTCTTAAGTTGTGTGCAGTGTTTGTACAAGGTACACTCGAATAAAAATGAACAATGTTTTTCCGCCAGGATGTGATTTTACAGCACCGGGAAGCTACTGCCAGATATTTCACACGAGATTCTATTTTCTCCGATTTGAACACGGTGAACCCATTATTGACCAACTAAGTAGTTTAATTATACCAGGCTGACAAAGCTCATCCCTGAAGAGTAGAGCAAAGTTTTCACCACAACCAAGTATTACCTCTGCTCCTCTAACTGGAAGAGAAAGGTTGACTTAAAAGTGATGTCAACATTGGAAAGTACAACGCGATGTTGACTATAGATATTGCTGTAAACATACTATGCATTCATCTTGTGACAGATACATCATTTGTCACTAGATATATAGGTTAGATTTCACAATTGGACAAACACTTAACTGATTTGTACATAATTTAATATTTGAATCGATTTTAAATAAACCCTAAGATTGGCTGTCTACCAGCTCAGAGTGCAGCCCACCTCTCACCCAAAGTCAGCTGTGATTATATACCAGCACACCTGCAACCGTCACGAGGATGTGATACTGCAAATGGATGGATGTCAGATGCACTGGCTACAGTATATAAAACGGTACATTTGGACTCCACGAGGTTGGGAGGGCATGCATTTTGCGTAGTGCTTTAGATGCTCCTCTACAAAGTAGCATCACATCATGCCAGTCCATTTGATGTTTGGCATTTGGTGGCTGACAATAATCACCCATTACCAGGCATAGTCTGGTTACTTAAATATGTGTTCAAAATGAACCCTACATTTCCCACTATGAGCAGAACATTTTTTTTTCCAGTTGAAACAAAAATAGTTTCATCGACACTGTCAAACAGCTGTGAATGGAGTGTGCTAATTTTTGAGGGTATGGCTGGCAGTGATTTAGAATAGTAGTTTAATACCATTTAAGCAGTGTTATTAACTTTGCCACAGAATAAGAATAAAGTTAGAGTTATTTAATGTGTTGTGTAGATTTACCTGAGATTGTTGCCAAAAACTGCATAATCACAAACGGAGCAATGTGGTTTTGCCTGTCATCTAATTTAATAGCGAGTGCAATATTAATCAAACTCCTGATTAATACGTTGTCAAATGTATTTATTTTTGATCGGAGTAAAACAAAAACTTTTAATGTGTACAAGAAGCCAAACTATAGAGCAACTGCATTCACAAACAAAAGAATAATTGCCATGTACACCAGCAGTAACAAATGTTAATGTTAAGAGGAAAAAAATATTTTCATTTTGTTATTTTTTTTCCCGTGTCTGGAGCAACTTTTGTTCTTACCACATTCATTAATTTTGATACAAATGTCAGTACTTGCCCTCCTCTGCTTGACTCAACCCAAGAAGTTGTATTTCAATATTTGGTATGCAAGAACTTACATTGCTTTAATGTTGATGAGTTCTTTAAAGGCATGGGTTGGAAGTTCTTCAAGATCCAGGTGTTTGAGAACTCTGTTAAATATGTAAGAATGGAAATTGTTTACTCCAGAGATTCTCACTTGTTTTGTCCATTGGAAATATTGCAACCGAATGTGCCAGAAGTGACAGTTTAAAAGAAAAAAAAAGATCAAGAAGAGACATAACGGAGGAGAATGTATACACAGAGATACTTACATGGATGTGGTTTCATTCTCGGAAGCCATTTGTGTGTCCTTGCTGCACTGAAATTTGGAGGCCGTGCAGTGGCAGATTTGCGGACACTTGAACGCCTCATCGGAGGTCACATAGTGGATGCCGGACAATGCAACCACAAACAAGAGCACCTGCGGGGTCATTTGTGAAATCAAGAGTTGAAGCAAATGTGTTTACAAATTACAAAAAAAAAAAAAAAAGCTACTTTGAACTAACTGTAATTCTCCAGGACTAAGCTAAACACCTCAAAAAAAAAAAAAAGCAGCTGTTATTCCTCATAAGTGTCAGCAGTGGTCTTGCCTTCATGTACTCACGTGAATGTGACTTGCCTGCCTGCCTGGAGGAGTTGCCTAAAATGTGAAGTACTTGTGACGCTGAGTGGGTGGGGATCATGATAGCTCTTACACTGTTTCTTCATTTCATTTCAATGAAATGCAAGCAAATGGAGATTAAAAGCTTTTAATTTTGCATTTGGTTTGCCTGCATGAACAAAGTGTCCTTTCAAAAGATAAGATCACCATTGCTAGTACTACTACAATACATGGTGATCGGACAAGCTTTGAATGATCAAAAAAAAAGCTTAATACACTGAACCGTTAAAGACACACACATGCTCATTTAGATATGTGAACAGTTTTTTTTTAACTCATTGAAAAGGTTATGTTCAAGATGACTTTTGCATGACCTAGTCGGCAGGGGTGAAAAGATGACACCCAAGCAGGGTGCTTTAGTTGTCACTTCCACTAGAAAACCTCTTCAAAGGATGGCAAGTTGACCTGGGGATAATGGATAGAGACGTAAGAAATTCAACAAAGCCTGTGTGGCATATAATGACTGTACTTTGACAATATTGCATATTGGAAAGAAAATGACAAGAAAATTGAAAATTACATGACAAGTATATGTTATAGGAATAATGTTGGCGGCACGGTGGGTGACCGGTTAGCACATTCGCTTCACAGTGCCGAGGTGCAGGGTGAGGATAAGCGCATTAGAAAGTGAATGGCTGGAATAAAGGTGTAACATGAAGGTAAAATTTATAAATAACAATGAATGACTTTATAAAACGACCAGTAAATTGTTATAAGAATAAAACCTTAAGTCATAATATGATGAAAAAGGTGTAAAGGGATGACAATAATTTCATAATATTCTGCGTAAATAACATATTGCAAGTTCACAGTTATGGGATTGAGGTTGGAATGTTATGAGAAGAAAGTTGTAACATGGCAATGACAAAAATGAAGTCTTATGAAAAATAAGTAAAAAAAAAAAAAAATCTAATCAAGTCAGAAAACTGGGTGACAAAAGTGATGGGAGTTGTAATATTATGCCGTGCATCAATATAGTTGTTTATTTGCATGGTGACGACTGTTGAGGTGCCTTTGAACAAGGCATTGAAAGTGGTGCACTCACCGTTTGCATGCCCCATGACCTTGCATGATCTCACACTGCCCATGTACAAGTCAGGCGAGTGCACCACTATACCATCAGTGACCCTGGGGGGAAAATAACAGCAAAAAACTAAATGTGTAGCCTTCTAGGCATAAAGTTGTTTGAGGAAAAATAAAAAAAAGAATACCTCAATTCAACTCCGTTTCATTTTTACTGTAGAGGACGTTACAAACAACCTGGAGACATTTGAGGGAAGACTGGCTGGCTCCAAGATACGTGATGGTGTGAATTACGTTCCAAAATGCTGCTGTTTAAGAAAAGAAGGAATCATAATTGTCATTAGTAAATGTCAAACCTTGCCTTGGGATTTAATGGCGACCAGTTCAAAGTCAACCCTGCATCTATCCCAAACGTAGTTGGGATAGGCTCTACCTGAGACAGTAATGAGAACAAGTCATATTAAAAATATGGTTTCAGGATGGAATGCAAAACCAATCGCAAGGACCTAAATGCAAAGGTCTGCACCTAGCAGTTGTTGTCTCGCTCTAAAGACATGCCAAAGGAGGCTTTCAGAACGTTTCAGAACTTGTGTCACGAAATATGTACGTCAAATCCAAACTACAACTTTTTACCTTTGAAGTAACCCCTTGGAATATTTCTCCAATATCCTCCACAGTTCTGTCATCAGAGCCATGTTGCCCACGTCATCAAAACGGATCCAATGATACCACAGGGAGAATGCTCCAACATGGCGATTTTATTTTTCTCTTGGCCAGGCACTGCTGGATGCTCGGGGCAAGCAGCCACTAGTTATCCTACCACAACTCTTGCTTCTTCTCGCGCACTGAACAAAGCAGATGTGATTGATTGTCTGACCCACGCAAAACGCATAGTCTGAGTTTGAAATACTCTATATCTTTTGTGACACCGGTCCCATACACTTGTATACTCATCCAGTAAAAGGGGCGCTGCCGTGAATTTGTCTCATTATTTGTTTCCTCTTTTCAGCGTGGTCTTAGTGGTCTTTCACCCAGAACTGTGACCAATAGAGGCCTGTCAAGAAACCCCGTCATGTCCTGTCACTTCACAGAGATGACGGTGAATTGTTTTCATCTCAAATAATAGCCGGTAGGTGTGATCTCTTCTCACCATACGCACTCACCATCGCCGCTTTATGGATGGATGCTGTCAGAAGTTCTATTTTTTGGTGGTACAGGGTTTTCTCTTATCTCTGAATGAGTGTTATTGACCTGGTGACAGCTTTCTGACTTGATAAGATCTGACTTTTTTTTAATGTGCAAAGGTAGCGAAGGAAGAGGAAAAACACAATGTACCTGTAATGACACGATCCAACCTTGCAGAAAACCAGAGAATATAAACCAACACAAACATCCCTGAAAAGTATTCGACTTGATAGAGCCTGTAGTCATTACTGAAAGTGGTGGAAGAAGCAATTTGCTGTCACGTCCTGTTTTTTTTACCATTTCCACTGAAAGGGTCGCTTTCAGGCGGTGGGGAGCTTGAGAGCAAACGAACATCAGTAAGGCATTTGCAGTAACTGGCAATAGGGCCACTGTGTGTGTTGTTTGAGTTTTGGTGTTTTATTGCTCAGTCAACTGGACCTCAGCATCAAATCACAATCAGAATGTGAACCCATGCTGGAACTTGAAAACTCTTAAGAGCATTACTTGAGATGTGGCAGTATATGGGTATAAAAAAACCCAAAACAAAACACCAGTTGATGCAGTAGTGTCTAGTGGTAGTTCTTCTGCTGCATATGGGAGGGGCATGGATACTTATCACAGGCGTGATGCTAAAAGTGACAGTCCCGTACATTGCTGTTTTTCCACAACAAAACTCATGCATGCGTGTGTTTATGGACCTTGTTTTGTGCACAGGGTCTAAATTGCAATCACGGAATTAAATATGAGCAAGGGCTTCTGCTCATCTTTCTCAACTGGTGAAGCCATTTGACACGCTTTAATGCTTAGGAGCACTTCAAATAAACTTGACTTGAATTCATACAAAGTACCGTGATGAATATCTAGTCTGGTGTTGGCTCAAATTGACTTGTATGGAACATTCATTCATTCTCTGAACCACTTTTCCTCATATAAAGCACAATTATCATTAAAAAATCGTAATTTGATTTCCAAGCTGGAACTGCATCGCGGCTCAGCACTCAAGGGCAGCATCGGACGGTCCTTTCATGAGCTAGGAAGTGTCGATCAAGACTGAACCGCAGCCAAGATGGTTGGAGCAGAGATAGCGACATGGATGCACCACATGTCAAACATGAACTCTGTCCAGATAATCCCTCTTCACTAGGAGTGTGATTAATTGGGATACTATATGCTGACGACTGTATTTTCAATCAAGCGTCTGCATTTTTTTGAGGGAATTCATGCCGTTTTAACATCGAGTGTGCCTTCTGTCTTGGCTTACACACAGCAATAACTCTTGATAGCTTATCAGATCAGGAATTCAAGAGTCCTTGGACATTGTTTGGAGCATTAACGCGTTCACCACCACACACAAATGATTGTTGAATAATTTGAGGCAAACACACATTGAAAGTTGACATTGTATCTATTTCAGAATGCTGACATGATATCATTTCTTTTACCCGTTAACCCGTGTTAGCTGTAGTGGCTATGTTGTAAAATCAGCAGGTGTCAGAGATAATTTTGTTCGGGATGCCGTTCTGTCTGAAGCGTGAGGCTTCAACTTCCCAGTACGCTGCATGTCTGCAAGTGTTTTTTTTTTTTGTTGTTATTTTGGTTGTGTGCTCTCAGTCTTTCAACCCTCACATCTGGAAACTGCAAGCACGGCTTCACCCGGTTTCCACTCTTAAAGTAGAAAACTTTCTCTGGCCCTCAACATCAAACCATCAATTTCCTAGCCAGTTGGTGGCTTGTAGGATATGCATGAGCGTGTGTGTGTGTGTGTGTGTGTGTGTGTGTGTGTGTGTGTGTGTGTGTGTGTGTGTGTGTGTGTGTGTGTATTTGTGTCTGTGTGTGTGCTTTTCAATGAATATGTTTGCGTGAAAGTTTGGGAGCCTTGGCATATCAGTGTGGCAAATGCACCGTTGTCCAGATGATAAAGTGTGGTGGTCCGCTGAGGAAACAAACTGTGAGAGACGTCTGAAGACACCATTACATCATCCATACATGCTGGGTGCAATATGAGCTTTGTTGGCGTTTAGCACCTTGGATCCTCAGACAGGAACGTTCATCTTATGACTAACTCTTCTTATACGGCAGTTTACTTTTAATTTTCATGCAAGTGGTCTTTTCCATTTATCCTCTTTTCCACAATTTTATACATGTACATCATGGCGCAACAGGAGGGCAGTCTGTGAGGACTTGGCTATGCAAGCAAAGGTTGAAATCATGCCTCAGACAGGAACACTTGGAAATTGAGCCAGCTTGTTGGGAGATGATAGTTCTGATAACTGTTGAGGTCCCTTGAGGGGTGCAGACACTGCGATGTTGTCTGGGCAGCATTCAAGGCTGGTGGTACTGCATGCATGTCACATTAACTGTCCGCCGCACCACAATCCAAATGTCAATCAAAAGAAAGATGGGAATGCCAAATTACCAAGATTAACTTGTTGTCACAACAAGATATTGGCAGTGCGTTGTGAGAAACACCAAATCCAAATGCCTCCGCTCCACAATGTATGATGAAACATGTATTTGAGAAGACAGGAAATCACACCAAGTTAGTGTTGTCACACAAAAATTCTTTCAGCATATTCAAATTGATGCAAGCCACTCTACATTGGTGGAGAGTTTTTTTTTTTTTGTCTCATGTGATGGGCTAGTGCCATTGCTATACAAAGGTGTAGTTAGCATTGCTAAAAATGTTGAATGGTAAGCCAGAGTAGATTGATGCACAAATAAGGATAGATTACACCTCTTCTGCTGCAGTCATCCATCAAGTTGATGCTCTAATTAAGTTGCAAAAGGGTAAGAGAGTCGTAAAGTACTCATTATTTAGCAAAGAGCAACCAGAAAACTACAATAGGATTCTGCACACCAGGTCAGAGGCTTGAAGGGGTTTGGGTAAATATGATGAATGATGGTTGTAGTCTTTTTTTTAATTTTTTTTTTTTTTTTTTTTACCTCTAATCAACACCACTGAAAAGACCAAACATGCGGCGACTTACAAATTTGCAGTAACACAAAATGACATGAAAGCAATCATGTAACATCAGCAGGACTACCATCCACATCTCCACTTTTCTCAGATAACTAAAATATTGCCCGAAGACATTTGGGATAGGCTCCAGCACGCTCGCGACCCTCGCGAGGATAACGTAGTCCAGATAATGGATAATTTTTGTTTCACGAAAAATTTACTCTTATTATACAAGAGTAAATTTTATTCTGTTTAGGCTGGGACCAAATATATGCTTTTTTGAGTAAAATATACTCTACAAAATTTACTGTGACATTTTGAATGGTGTTGTAAACTTGTTTTGGTATTGCCGGAAAAGCAGGACTAGTTTCATTGTTTTTCCACATTTTTCTTTTCATCTCCTGACTCTGTTCTTTGCAGTGTCAGAGATGTGGATGGCAGCATTCTGTTGAATGTTACAGATGCTGGAGCACTGATACTTCCCCGAAGTTTGGTTCTGATTGACATCTCTGCTATGTGTCCTGTGACTCAGTGGCATGTGCTGCGAGAGGCTGTGAGGAAGAATTCTAACTTGTTATGACAGTCTTTTTCTTCCATGTGAGCTGCTCGTATGGCCTCTAGAGAGTGCAATTGCATTCACTTGGATATACATTTAAATCTCTTCTGCGTAAAAAAGAGTGCCGTTGTAGGTTACTATCATCTCCGGAACACCATAAATTCCAAAAGAGGGACTCAAACATTTTATTATGTTTACAAAAGTGGGACATCAACACTCACCCATCTGGAGTTTTACTCAGTCAGCACGAGTAGGTGTCCTGAGGGGAATGCTCCACACATGTTAATTGCTGGTTTCTGCCATGTTTTAGGTGGGAGTTCCCTTCTTTTGATTGCAACCTGCTGTTAGGTAGAGCTGTTAGGCTGGCATGCATGCTGCTTCTCAATTGATACAGGGCTGCCACATTTTTGTTCTCGGGCTCTGTTTTGTTTTGGCTATTCCCTGATGTCCTTCGTGTGCTAGCATCAGCATCCTGTGTCGTCCTGCCTAGAGGAATAACAATCCTGGTCTCTCGGAACACCATTATTCACGTAGTGGAGAGTTCATTTTTAACAGCCTGATAAGCAGTCTCACATTTACTCCAGTCACCTGGTTTGATACAGCTCATTAAAGTGGTTAAAGTGAGCTGTTCTGTTGACAGAGCTCTCATTTGGGATGCAATGTTAAGGGTACTGCATTCAACTACAAAGTACACAGACATGGTCCCCCATGGTACGTTTCTGTACTGGCCAGTTGGCTGTACAGCGCAACAGTGAATCAGCTGCGTTTTGTGATTGTGGCACTTGTAAACAACCTTAAAGCAATATGCCTGCAGATCTAAAAGGCATCTTTCGATTCTTGCTGCTGGTTCAGATTTTAGTCAGTACATGGTTTCAAGTGGCTCATTGTCTGTTACCATCACAAAATATTTTCCTTTCTTTTTTTTTTTTTTTTTTCCAAAGCCCACAAAATGGAGAGAGCTTTTTTCACTTTGAGAATAACGACATTCCACATCAGACAAGGCTCTATTGGCATAATAGACTGGATTGTGTTTTGCATCATTCGGATTTGATTTCAACATTGCTCCGAGTTCCACTGGTCTTACATCTGCAACCACGAGTGCATCTGCATCCGGGTTGAACTATGCCCACCACAGATAAAGTTAAATTTGGTTCACCCAGTTATTAATTTGCTCCAGACATTGACACGATACATTAAATAAACCGATATCATTCTGGGACATTGTGTCATCGGCATAACTGTGATAGCCAACGTTGGTGTTCTGAACTATTGGACCGAAAGCCGACATATATAGACCTAACAGAAGGGGATCAAAGACTGACCCTTGAGGGACCCCACATGTCATGGCCAATTGATTCGATTCAAAACTTCAGATGTCACGAAATAACTCCTTTCCTCTAAGTAGGATCCGACCCATTTTAGGACTGTT